TAGCCTGTTTTCAGTTAATGGATGGAACATTGAAGGGCACTTCCCATCAAATATATTGCAATAAGCATTGTGCTTTGGTACTTTTCATATGAAACTAATTCTCAGATTTAAAATTCCATCCATTGTATTGCAGTATTTAAACAATAAATGGCATTTTGGCGCTGTTTAATGTGGAGTGACAGATCGCTGTAGCGCGGCACGCCTCAGTTCAGTAAAAGCGGCAGCACAAGGCACACGTGAACTGATCATCTCCTCCACATTAATACCAGTTTCAGCACAAAATAAACATGACTAAACATCCGAAGGCAAGTTAAAAGAAAGAGTACAACTTTACAATCCGTATCCTGTCTCATGTAATCTCTCAATCAGCGTTTCAGTCGCGCAAAGACGTCAATATAACGGTTTGTAAACAATGACACGTAATGTCACATTTACCTCAGAAAAACATATTTGGTGACCATAAACTCATTAGTAAGCTAGAAAAATAAACTGCAGAGAGGGGCGTTTTGCTATATATATGCACTATAATAACATATTCATTATCATTTTTACTGTTCTTCAATGTTTCATTTATGTTTGAATAAATCCAAGTTTTTGACAGCCACCATTTAAATGTTTATATTTAAAAAAATGAATTGACATAGAAGTATTATTATGTAGCTAATTGTAATTTTATTATTTTAATTAAGTGATTAAGTGTAATTTTAGCAGTTGTATATTAGCCTACAAATCAGTCAATTTTAACCTTCAATATTATAGTACCAACTGTATAACTGTATATTTTACAGCATTAGTTGAGAGATTTTTTTTTCCTTGAGAAAATTTGGCATGTACTGTATCTGATATATATCCAAAATAATCGATATTGAATCGAATCGATAATCGAATCGAAAGCTTGTGAATGAGAATCGAATCGGATCGTGAAATTTGTGTCAAAACCCAGCCCGAATAAACAGTCTACAAATGTTAGTAACACATTAGTTAATGTTGGACTAGTGTACACTTTACAACAAGGTTTTACAATTCCCTTAGTAAATACTTTGTTAGAGGTTAGTCAGTCTACAAACATGAATAATATCTCCGTTGATGTTCAGACGGTTTCCACTTTCAAATTAAGTTTACCAATAGCCCAAATCAGTGGCCAAATGGCGAGTTAGTATTGTTCATCCTTTGTGTGTGTTAGCTGCTACATAAACTTATGTGTATATATGTAGTATAAATTAAGCCTGGCTCACACTGTGCGATTTTGGCTACGATTTGGTTGTCTGAGACAAATTTTGAAAATCCTAAAAGATTCCTATAATCCTAGGCTAAAATCTGTAGTCTTTGATCGTTAGTTTGACATGTTCACTGACAGCCGATTAATGGCCATTGCTATGAAATTTGACCTCTGACGAACTTCTGGCAGTGTCAGAAGATTTGGCACACAGTCCTGCAGTGTGACATCTCCATCAGAATTAATGCTAGATATTTCTTCTAACCGCATAAACTCCGGCGCTCTCGTCCTCAACTCACGGAATACATATGATTCTCTTTGTGTGTGTTAGCTGCTACATAAACTTATGTGTATATATGTAGTATAAATTAAGCCTGGCTCACACTGTGCGATTTTGGCTACGATTTGGTTGTCTGAGACAAATTTTGAAAATCCTAAAAGATTCCTATAATCCTAGGCTAAAATCTGTAGTCTTTGATCGTTAGTTTGACATGTTCACTGACAGCCGATTAATGGCCATTGCTATGAAATTTGACCTCTGACGAACTTCTGGCAGTGTCAGAAGATTTGGCACACAGTCCTGCAGTGTGACATCTCCATCAGAATTAATGCTAGATATTTCTTCTAACCGCATAAACTCCGGCGCTCTCGTCCTCCACTCACGGAATACATATGATTCTTTGCCTTTGCTATGATAAACACCGGTTGCGCTGCTGTTTTCAAGTGGGTGTGTAGTGCTGCTTGCACTATTCTGCATGAATACACCGGTATTGCCGCCATTAATATACTTTTAATGATAGCCAACATTACAGCCCAGCGTGCAATGCAGCTCACAGTCACTGAACGTGTGTGGGTTGATAAGGTAAAACTCCGGACAAGTTTTCTTGCACACACCCGTTTTTAACGCGTCTTAACTGTCGTACAGTCTGAGATTAATGACAACTGAGATCCCACAGTGTGACATGATCATGTTTGTACAGTCTGAAAAGTTCAATCCTAAAGGACTTTAAAAAAAAATCCCGGCTTTAGCATTAAAAAACATTAAATAAAGCAATTTACAGGCATAGTTCATTGTTAGATCATGTTAACTAATGCATTAACCGGTGTTAACTAATTAAGCTGTTAATGTGAAGAGATGCATTAGTATATTTGTAAGTTAACATTAACAAAGATTGTTAATGTGTTGGTCATTGTTAGTTCATGTTAACTGGGTTGATAAGGTAAAACTCCGGACAAGTTTTCTTGCACACACCCGTTTTTAACGCGTCTTAACTGTCGTACAGTCTGAGATTAATGACAACTGAGATCCCACAGTGTGACATGATCATGTTTGTACAGTCTGAAAAGTTCAATCCTAAAGGACTTTAAAAAAAAATCCCGGCTTTAGCATTAAAAAACATTAAATAAAGCAATTTACAGGCATAGTTCATTGTTAGATCATGTTAACTAATGCATTAACCGGTGTTAACTAATTAAGCTGTTAATGTGAAGAGATGCATTAGTATATTTGTAAGTTAACATTAACAAAGATTGTTAATGTGTTGGTCATTGTTAGTTCATGTTAACTAATACAACCTTATTGTAAAGTGTTACCATTTTTTTAAAGGAAGCTAAAAGCATATCTTTTATTTAAGCTTTTATCTAAAATCACTTTCTTTAAATCTCTTTGGAATGCATTGTCTTTTTTTTTTAACCTGATTTATGCATTCTTTGTATTATGTTTTACTTCTATTATTAATTAATTTAATTATTATATTATTATTATTACAATTATTAATTTTGTTATGCATTCCATGTATAGAATTTTTGTTTTTTATTCATATAAAATTGGTTTTCACGTTACATTAATTATGGTATTTTTCATCGGTTTCACTGAAGAACTTTGCAATTAATGTAATTTTTTTTTTTACTTTGAGCTGCATTTCTTCTGTGTGAACGTTGTTCTACAAACAAAGGTTTTTATTATTATTATTATTAATAATAAATGAATATTAATAAATACATTTTATTAAAGTTTATTATAAAGAACAAAAAACAACATTATAAATACTATAATAAACATATCTCTTCTTAAATGTACAAAATAATATATACTATATAAACATAATAGTACATGATCATTTTGGTCAAATGTAAATTCAAAGCAGTTGAGAACCACTGTTATAAAGTACTTCCACATGTGCCATCCACTAACTGTTAATCGCTCTAAACTGAGTCTCACCTTTGGGCTCCTTTTGTGTGGCCAGGTCAGCCAGCCAGTGAAGGGCTGAGGAACTGCCCTTGCCATCTTTTGCAGCTGGTGTGAGGACGGGAGCAGGGATAGAAGTGCTGCTGTTTGACCCACTGGTGCCTGACGTTGTGTCAGCACTGCCCGCCTCTTCAACAGGCTCTGTTTTGACTACTGCACCCGCTGCAGGTTCCCCATTTGGACGGGTTGTGGCTGATGTGGAAGTGGCTCCATTACCCACACTGTTAGCCGCACCCGACTGCACCAAACATCAGACACAAGATGAGAACAGACCAAAAACAGATCTAAGAGCATTATAGATGTAATTCTACTTTCAACTCAAATGTTTTGGAGATGTCTTGCCTGTGAAAGGCCGTTTGGAGCACTGGGCCGCACCAAGGGTTTGTTATGTCGACTAGTGCAGGGGCAGTTCGCTTTGATCCCCCATTTACCTCTGGCTGCGTGTACCATGTCACCTATGCTGTATAAGGCTAAAGGGACACAAGGAGACAATAAAACTGAGCTCCAGTTACTGTGATTTCACATATTTTGAACAGGAATAAATGCACTAACCTGTGCCAGGTATAATTTGAGTGGGCATGAGGTTCTGTGGTTCGTGTGGCTGGCCTTTAGCACACTTCAGCCATGAGAACACGTCTTCTTCAGGACTCTCGTCTACAGAAAGAGCAGGAGTGAGAGTCAGAGACATGCTGTAATGGACATACGTGACAGTGCACCTTCATCAAACATAATGATAGCTTCACAACATTTCTAGTCATGAATGTGGCAGATCCTTTGTCGTATCTACCTTCAGGTGGCCTGTTCTTGCGTAGCCGGTAGCAGTCGAGACAAACGCCGAAGCCGCATTTGCGACACACCCAGTGGATGTTGAACAGCGTTGTCTCACACACGTCGCACATTTCTCTCACTCCCCTCACAGCGCGCTTCCATGCCACTTTTTCTGCAAAATCACAGGGCATTATCAGATTTTATGCAAGTCCTTATTAATTATTATCGAAATAGTCACTAGCTCTTCATTTTAGTGTACATTTATAATGCAAAACAAATGTTTTATTTCAGTTAATACAAAGGTGCTATATAAATAAAAAATATTATTATAATTATTATTGGTTTAATATGAGATTTTAATATCTTTCCTAGTTCCTTACTGATAAGACACTGTATGTAATGGAGTTTTTTTTTACCCTTTTCACTGAGCTTCATTCATGAAACATGAGTAGAATGTGAAATTCATTGAAAACGCATTCAATTTAATGTGGTATTTCACATAAGAATTTCTATGAATAATTCACTCAAAATTATTCTGCTTATATTTCATGAATGAGGTCTTTAATATTACAGTGATTATGGAAGCTACATCTGTTCGGATAATGAGCAATCCATTCAGGTGTCCATTATTTTTTCCTGAGAATGATAAAAATGTTATTATATAAATTAGTCATCTAAATTAATAAAATCATAAAACTGCATCATATACATTTTCCTAGTAATGTTAAGCGCTAAAATATTTCATGAGATAGAAAACTTTCAATTGTGGAAAAAATCCTTGAAGAGTCAGGTAAATGAACTTAATTTATTTAAAATAAAAAAAGGGAATCTTGAACATTTAGCTCTTAAAAACTTCAGGAATACTAAAGCTTATTAACTGAAAATGATTTTAGTTGTTATTTTACTTTTAGTTGACAGAAATTAAGAGTGTCCATAAAACTAGATAAAGATTTATGCATACAAACATTTTTTTGGCTTTATGTGATACTTTCTTATACTTTATTCAGATTATAAATTATTTTGTGTGAACAAGCTTTAATCAGCTTTAATGAACAAACAGTTACTTACGATGGGGCTCTATCATCATCATGGCCTCTTTCTCTGACATGACCAGTTGGCAAAACTGGTCACCCACGTTTGCTAAAATATATTTGGACGTGTCCAGGTCAAGTCCTTCCTGTGCTGTGAGGGAGGGGAGCCACAGCCCCATTGCCATGCTGTCACTCTGCTGCGGGCTCAGAAAGCCTTCCACGCGAAGGACTCCCTTCTTAGTGAAAGCCAGCCTGTTACGACAAATCACGATGTCAGTCTCACACCCTAGCCAAGAGTTCAGCTAGCCATACCAGTAGTTGTCTGAATCATATCCACCTGCGAAAGTGGAAGAATCGGCAGGCCACGTTTGGGTCATCATCATCGTCTTCATCCTCGCGGGATTTCCTGTAGCGCTCCAGACGACACTCGCGGCATTTGTGCAGGTGTGGCGCCACGTTAATGCAGGAGCCGTCTTGCAGAAAGGACTCTCCGGACAGCTTCAAGCGCCGAACCTTATTCTGGTCCTTCAACACCGACTGTCCCACTAGATGAATCACACATAAACCCAAAATCAGATGACTGTGAATGTCTATCAAGATCTATAGAGATCGACAGAGCAGGATGGCCAGAACTATTAAACAAAAACAGCAAACTAATGAATAGAGACCTTTCAAGAATTATGTATTTTTGTATGCCAAAACCTTGAAACAAGTTAGTATTTGAGCATTTCTGCTTCCATCATCTGAAAAATCAATGTTTTTTCAATGGTTTTTTGATGAAATGTTTAAATTAAGTTCTGTGGATTACACAAGCCACTAGATGAATCACACATAAACCCAAAATCAGATGACTGTGAATGTCTATCAAGATCTATAGAGATCGACAGAGCAGGATGGCCAGAACTATTAAACAAAAACAGCAAACTAATGAATAGAGACCTTTCAAGAATTATGTATTTTTGTATGCCAAAAGTTAGTATTTGAGCATTTCTGCTTCCATCATCTGAAAAATCAATGTTTTTTCAATGGTTTTTTGATGAAATGTTTAAATTAAGTTCTGTGGATTACACAAGTTTAAGATAATTTCACATAAAATCACTAATAACCCCTTGTGGCATAGTACCCCCTGGAGAAAGCGTAATAGCTAGGGTTGCACAATTAATCGAAATTAAATCGCAAAGGAGATAAATCGCGATTAGGCAGAAGCTGCAAATGTCATGCGTATCTTTCAGTGAAGCACGGTTCTGTGATCAGCAGTAAATCTCCATCCAAAGGCCAGAGGGCGCTCTCGCGCTGAAACTCCAAATACGCCTCGCAGAAGAAATCCAGGAAATTCTTATAGCGGTAGCTGAATAAACAGAAGATTTAACTGCTTAGATTAATTCCACGTGACTAATAAACACATGACTACGACAATATATCTATATATCTGAGTTCGTCTTATTATAATTTTAATTATAATAAAGTCTATCACAATATATCTATATATCTGAGTTCGTCTTATTATAATTTTAATTATAATAAAGTCTATCATAATGCAATGCTAATTGACATAGCCTTTATCACTGCTTAGAATACTATGAAATATGTTGCGTGCCTAATTCTGTGTAAGAAGCCACATCATCTCTGGAGAAAGCGTAATAGCTAGGGTTGCACAATTAATCGAAATTAAATCGCAAAGGAGATAAATCGCGATTAGGCAGAAGCTGCAAATGTCATGCGTATCTTTCAGTGAAGCACGGTTCTGTGATCAGCAGTAAATCTCCATCCAAAGGCCAGAGGGCGCTCTCGCGCTGAAACTCCAAATACGCCTCGCAGAAGAAATCCAGGAAATTCTTATAGCGGTAGCTGAATAAACAGAAGATTTAACTGCTTCGATTAATTCCACGTGACTAATAAACACATGACTACGACAATATATCTATATATCTGAGTTCGTCTTATTATAATTTTAATTATAATAAAGTCTATCATAATGCAATGCTAATTGACATAGCCTTTATCACTGCTTAGAATACTATGAAATATGTTGCGTGCCTAATTCTGTGTAAGAAGCCACATCATCTCACAGAAGGATTAATTTCAAACACTCGACTGACGTTATGAGTTGACTAAAAACATGTTATTAAATGTGGTATTTTTTACATGCTTTCAGGTGTAGCAACATTTACTACACAGAGCCGTAGTTCACTGAGAAGCTACGCAAACAGCTTTCATAATCGCAGAACGATTTCTTAATTGCGCGATTAAATCGTCTGTGATTATGAATGCGATTTTGCGTAGCTTGTCAGTAAACTACGGCTCTGTGTAGTAAATGCTGCTCCATCTGAAAGCACGTTCTGGAGATTTACTACTAATCACAGAACCTGCTTTACTGGCAAGATGCACATGACAATCACATTCGATTAATCGTCCAGTCTAGTAATAGCCAACTTGTATCAAGTGTGCCTTGATAACCAATCACGACCTTGACGTCACTGAATAAATGTCAAGAGTTGTGTGACAGCCAAGCAGTGTTTGTGGATACCATTGAAATGAATGAGAAGTACCGCAAACTGAATCCTGCCCGTCACAAAACTGTCTGAGACTTCTCTTATAAAAGGGCATTTGTGGCATAAACTCTAAAAATCCAAAACAAATGTTTAATGGCAAACATGTTGAAGATTAGCCGATGTTAAAGATGTTAATTCATTAAATGATAAGCTGTTTTGCCACAAAAGCAGTTTATTCAGCATAGTGAGGCAAGGACATCCGTTCAAAAAAATGGCCTCTGGTCTCCTTTACTGTGTACTGCAGCATTATGTTTGTTTCTTTTTTTTGGCTTGCCTTAAAGGGTTAGTTCACCCAAAAATGAAAATTCTATCATTAATTACTTACTCTCATGTCATTCTAAACCCGTAAGACCTCCGTTCATCTTCGGAACACAAATTAAGATATTTTTGATGAATTCTGAGAGCTCTCTGACCCTCTCATAGACAGCAATGTAATTACCACGATCAAGGTCCAGAAACATAGCAAGGAGATCGGTAAAATAATCCATGACATCAGTGGTTCAACCGTAATATTACGAAGCTACGAGAACACTTTATGTAAGCAAAGAAAACAACTTTATTCAACAATTCGTCTCCTCCGCGTCACCCTGGTGCCGTTTTGGAGAATATCCACTGAACGCAAACAGCGTATGCTATTCTGTGTCAGCTGCGTCACGCGGCTGTGTCCTTGCTATGTTTCCGGACTTTGATCGTAGTAGTATCTTTGCTGTCTATGGGAGGGTCAGAGAGCTCTCAGAATTCATAAAAAATATCTTAATTTGTGTTCCTTAATTTGTGTTCCGAAGATTACGAGTTCAGAACGACATGAGGGTGAGTAATTAATGACAGATTTTTCATTTTTGGGTGAACTAACCCTTTAAAGTGGGTTTGTTTGCTAGAAAGTGGCTGAATGGGACTGCAAAGTTTGCCGGGGACATTATATGTCATCATAACGAACAGGTAAATTCATCTACTCTTTATAATCATGCTCTCACAAACTTTCACAGTATAAATAAACTCATACAGTTTTAGATCGACATGAGGGTGAGTACCAAACCAACTCATGAAATACACAGCATGCAGTAGTCAAGCACATTACCTTTGATGGGTTTGCTCCGTGGCCGGCTCTTAGCCACAGGCTGGGTCTTATTCTTATCCTCAATGGCTGAGGAAACCCCAGGTTTCTGGCTCTGGCCGGAGTTGTCCTCCCCCTCGCTCAAATCAGACAGGTCACTGTTGCTACTGGACTCTGAATCTCTTTTGATGGACTGACTGCGTTCCTCCAAAGAAAACTTGGTTTGGTCGAAAGGCATAGCCACATCTTGGCCTTCGGTGTCGAGGTGAGTTCCCGTGCTGCCATCTGAACCCTCTTTGTCTGGTTTGGACGTTTGTTGTCCATCCTGGGCAGCCGAAGTGAATGACGGAGTGGTCGTGAGAGCAGGAGCAGGGAATTGGGGGGCTAAGATTCCCTTAGGAGGTTCTGCCATGGTGAACAGATTTGGTTTGGCATCACCACCAGGAGGATCTTGACCAAGTAGACCGGAGCTGCCTGAAGGTGAGACAGCAGACGCGGACAGCGCAGATGACGACTTGGGAGTTGACAATGCACTAAAAGGGCTGTGCGAAACAGCTCCGCCGTAAGCAAGAAATGGATTTGTTTCCTTCGTGGCCTGTAGGAAAAGGTTCTCGTGAGTTTCCGAAACCTTGTTGCCAGCCAGCAGACCAAAACTGCTGACTGGGCTCGAGCTGTTCACATTTCTGGCACTTCCAAGTCCGCTGGTTCCTAATCCTAAAGAGGGATTCAGAGCCTCTGCAGAGCTCACAGCTTGACCTGTGGCTGAGGGAAAAGCAGCTGGAAGTTTGCTGTGCGCCTCCCCCACCGCTCCGAAAGGCTTGTTCATTAGGATCCCATTGCCTGCAGGCTTGATATCAGGCACTTTTGGCGGCTCTTTCATTGGTGCCAGGCCACTAGCAGGTGCTGAACCAAACAGTCCAGCGGATGCAGAAGCTACAACCGCCTTTTTGAAACCCTCGGAAGGAGCGGCAGGCTTGAACAGGCTGGGCGGCTCCTTGTTCAGGCACTCGGACAAGGACTTGAAGGCCTTTGACTGGCCTTGCGTGATACTCTGGTTCTGAGACATGATTTGGAAGAACAGGTTCTGTGAGGGATCAGAGTCCTGCCTCTGTGACTCCTTCGCAGCTCCAAAAGGAAAGCCAAAAGGCTTGTCCTCCTGGGAAGAACCATTGGCCTGTGTGGGAACATCCCCAAACACTGCCTCACTCGACTGTTTACCAAATCCTGCAGTAGCTAGAGCAGGGGTCTTGGGGGTCTGAAATACAAATAAGCCAAATAGATGACAGACAAAGAGTAATCAGTGTGCCCACAAAAAGAAAAGGGAAAAAAATTTAAAACCAGTGTTGTTATTATTAACTAAAACTATTAAAAATCGTTTTGGTAATTGAAATAAAACTTTAATAAAATAAAATATAAGTATTAGATGAAAAAAATTTATTAGAAACAATACTTTGCAACTAACTGAAAAAAAATAAGATGAAGTACTAAAATGACTAATACTGAAATGAAAATAAATAGAAATATGAAATAGCTAAAAAAAAAAAATTTTAAAAAGGAAAAATTTTAAAAACCACAAAACAAAATTACAAAAACAAATTAAAATAAAAACTAAAAAATGTAAATAAAAACAAAAGCTCCTTTGAAATAAAAATAAACACTAAGTATGTAAACAATATTAAAATAACACTGGTTAAAAACGAACCAAATGAAAAATGGTCATTTTGTTTATGTTTGTTAATATTGAGGTTTCATGTAAAGGTTTGTGGAGACAAAATCATAACATTTAAGTTTTTTAATTAATATATATATATATATTTTTTTTTACGACTTTGATTTGGCTTTTTTTTCTAAATGTTAATGTTATTTAACAAAACTGCTTCAGATTTTTTATTTTCTTATGAAATATTTAATGGCAAAGCTGAATTTGCCACGTGATCCTTCAGAAATTATTCTATAATATGCCGATTTGATGCTCAAGAAACAATTCTTTTGTGCTGCTTAATATTTTTGTGGAAGCAGTCATACATTTTTTTACTACTCTTTGATAAACAAAGTTTAAAAGAACAGCATTTATTTGAAAGTTTATTTTTTGTATTATTTTAAATTATTTACTGTCACTTGTGCTTAATTTAATGCATCCTTGCTGAATAAAGTATGTAATAAATCCTTTTTAGCTCAGCTTGTGATTGCATTAAGACACTGGATGCTAAGAGACTTTATGCTTCCTATAAGTTTCCTCGAGGGAGAGTGCTTTAAGAACAGAAAACACATCCTTCTTATTGTCATCAGACTGAAGAGCCAACTCAACCGAACATGTGGATATTATTGTTATTCCCAACATTAACATGTGAAACAATATAAACACGATAAACATAGGCCGACTCGAGTGTATGTACGTTCTGAACTGTAACTGGCACGGTCTGCTTTATTTCCATTTGCTCTGCTTGAGCTTGAATGAGATATATATATATATATGTAATTGAATTAAAAATAATTTTAGTGGAACAGGCGTAATGGTGACTGTTCAAAGAAAATCATCTAGTCTTAAAGGGGTGCTATTATGCTTTTTCACTTTTTCAACTTTAGTTAGTCTGTAATGTTGCTGTTTGAGCATTAAAAAAGATCTGCAATGTTACAAAGCTCAAAGTCCACTTCAAAAGGAGATATTTTATTGAACAGAAATAACTTTTCAAAAACTACAACGAACGACTCGTTTGGACTACAACACATATTTTCCGGAATTTGTGATATCACAAATATCGACGAATGGGACGAGAGCTGGTCTAGAGAAGACAACGAGTGTTAGACAGCTAGCCCCGTACACCTGCACCCATGAGCGCTGCCGCCAAGGGCTGTCGTCAAACTCTACAAACACCTACAATGAAGACAAGACGGTTGGCAACAGCACAAATCAAGTGAAATGCTGCTCTCTACAAGCACACTTCAAAGTTCAAATGGACCATCTGTTGTGGATATTACGGTAATTAGGATTACGGTTGATTTGTCTTATGTGCCCAAACAGCCCCATCATAAGACTCAGGTACCCCTACATCAGCACCAAACCTGAAAAATACTTTTTACCTCATATTTCAGCAGTGTTTTTAATACTATTAAAATGGCTATTATTATAATGCAGTGAGTGAAACAGACTCAGCAAGCTATTTCTCTCAAAAATGAGAAATCAGTTTTTATAACTGCATTTGGTTTTATTAACCGAGACATTTGAAGGGACAAAACAGGATAAAGCTACTACAGGACTCTGTAGAGTTTAAAAATACAAGTACATACATTACCATACCATTCAATAGTTTGGGTTCAGCAAGATTCCAAACGTTTGAACCGCAGTGAACATTTCTCCAAAAATGTCAGCCACGCAAATAAGTAACAGACTGTATTCCTAACAGATCACTAACCAATGGTTAAAATGAACAAAATTAGATCAAACCAACACACAACATAAAGCCTGCATGTGCATATACGAACATACATTTACTCACTAACACAAGCCATATGCTGCATGAATACTAAATGCTTGCAGCATATTTCATTGGTTCTGTACTCTACACACAGGCCATCAAAATTAACCTAACATAATTCAATCCATGAATAATAACGGATTTAAAACAAAATCACCATCAAAAAATAATGTTTTCCACAACAAAAAGTTGATTATTAATATAGTTTGCCTGTGTGAATATAAATACCAGCACATATTTTCTATCTATTTATTCTGAATAGCAATAAACCATTTATAAAAGCTCTCATTCCGCCCATCATCTTAAATTATTATTACTTCACAGGCAACACGCCATGAATAATAACCTTTCCCTTTGTATTCACAGTCAGTAAGTTTAATCGATTTGATATATGCATTTATTGTGCGAGACGGTTTTTAATCACAATGGGTCCTTTACTGAGTCTACTGCAGTCTTAAACTAGTGGCTGCCTAACTAGACAGCATCAGTGACCCCAAAAAACCCAGTCTATGTAGGTTAGGCGGCTCTCCAGGATTTCAGTCAGTCCATGTCTGCAGCTAGCTAACGCTACTTAGCTAACTAGCACAAACACATATTAGATGCACATCTACGCATCTCTTCCTCATTTCAGACGCAACCTGGAGTCACATCTTACTGTTTTACACACTGAAACTGACGAAAGCTTCCGTGTTTATTCGCACGGGTTGGTTTTGTGTTATGTATTGTCGGTGTGTTGTTGTTGTGTCGGTCTCACCTCCATCCCCGGGCTCGCCAGACCGATCACACTGACCGCCCGCACGGTTCCGCGGAGCCAGGCCGCCCGCTCCACCGCTCCTCCTCCTCCTCCTCCTCCCGCCGCCGCCGCCGCCGCTGCCGAGCTCCCGTCGCTGAGCAGCAGCAGCAGCCGCTTCCCGATCAGACCGAGCGAGTCCCCCATACTACAACCACCATCAAGAGACCGACTTCCTCCGGAGCTCCGCTACAATCCGCGATCAATCGTGTCGAAACTAAATCAGTGTATTACTATAGCCACATGTGAACGACTGCGGGATTTGCATCGGCAGACTGAGACGATTAAGAAGCGCTTCGCTGGGAAAGTGAGGTGTTATTGTTCGAGCTGCAGCCCCTTGTCCTCATCCGCCATTTAGTTGTGCAGTAATCAAACGCACCCCTCGTAATGCTGCGGGACTGCGCTTCACTGGCTACCCGGGAAACCGAGCAGCGCCCCCTGCTGGACACTGTTCGCGCCGTACAGCGTGAACGCACAGCTCTGGAGGTCCGACTGGGCAGCGAACGCCAAACTCTCGCGAGATTCACATGCGCTTGTGTTTGGAGTCGCGCGGCCGCAGCAACAAGGTGAAGCGTTCGCGGTGTAAACAAGCTACTGAAAAGAATGGGCTGTTACACACTTACACCAGTTTTATTTAAAAAAAAAAATGTTATTAGAAAAAATTATATATAAGGCTATAACCCGTGGCATATTAACCTTAATCAAAACCCTCAAATGTAGATATTAACGATACAATCTTACAAAATAAAAGGTTTTAGTAAAAGGTCTCTCCTTGTTTGATAAACATTTACTCCTTTACTGTTGGATCAATCGTCATGTTAAATCAAAATGTAATAATATATCATGACACTTCATCTGGACACTAAACCTTATAAATATATTGTTTCTATAAATGTGTGTGTGTGTGTGTGTGTGTGTGTGTTATTGTGTAAATATGTGTGTGAGAGGATCCTCAGATGCAGCAGTGAGAGGATCCTCTTGGACCAGAGCAGCTTTAGCAGGAACCTCTGGGACCAGGGAGGTTGAGAGAGGAGCTCTGGGACTGAAGCAGTCTTTGACACCAGCTTTGTTCCCATCAGGAGAGGAACCTTTGTGGTGGACACGACGAGAATCATTGAGACCCATACGATCATGTCAGGAACCTCTTCTGGTGTTGCAGCAGCAGCAGGACCTTCAGCTCTGGGACCAGAGTGGCTCTAAAAAGGAACCCTGTTGAGTGACATCTGTTGTAGTGATTTTCAGATGTTAGGTATCCTCACACGGGGTACCACTAAATGTAGTGATTTCAAATCTAAGTAGCACCACCAGTGTAGTGGTGACAGCGGGAGCCTTGATTGGCCATGACTGTCAGAGCCACCTCTAGAGGAAACAGAATGGGACGGTCAGGCTAGAAGAAAGACTGATTTTTATGATGGTCAGATGGAAGTGGTTTCTCAAATAAGGATTTAGCTCAGTCTGTTTGTCTATTGAAATATCTGTACTCTGTGTTTTACATGAATCTAAGATGTTATAAATTGCTAACAGTGACTGAGAGGAGATGACACAGAGAGCACAGTCTGAGGCTGAGGTATGACTCGTTGTCTGTCTTGAATTTCACAGCCACCTGAAGGCCGTCCTCTCAGCGGGTCCCTTCAAAGACGGAGCCGCGTCCTCATTCTTCCAACTTCTTACCGAAGGTCTATGTCCAGGAAATGCGGTTTATTACAAGATAAATAGTTGTAGTTTTTTATTTAAGTCCACACTGCAGGACTATTTAAGTCAACTGCGAAAAATGGTAATTTTAAATAAAAATTAAAAAAACTAAATGAAACGTTACTGCAGTTACAGATGCATTATTTAAAACATAAATTTTCCTTTATACTGTACATGTACACCTAAAATAATATATTGTAAGAAGAGTGTGTGTGTTAAATTTTGGGTTATGACCGTAAACTCACCCTCGTTCCTCGTGATCTCGTCACAGTCCAGATGTCTCAGCAGATGTGATGCACTCTCATCTGCTGACGGACTGACTGGACTGTCCTGATCTTGAGGCTGGACGTCCTGCATTTGCTGCTCCTCTGCAGTGGGGGACTTCAGGAGCACTGGAAGGAGGTTCCTGATGATCACTGTCCTCTACAGTACAGAAGACGTCCTGTAGAGAATCAACCAAAAGCTTGTTTTAATCAACTAATATCAATAAAATATTGCATACCCATTTTATTTTTTCATTAATGGTAAGTTCTGGTTACTTGAATATTAAACTTTTTCAAATCATGTTAAAGCATTAATCACTTATAGTGGAAAAACTCATTTATATGCATTTGTATAATGTGATGGTGATGTGTCTAAATGATCAGAACTCATTATTGACCATCAGTGCAGCTCCTGGATGGGGTCCCAACAGTGTCCTGGTCCTCCTCACCCTGCTCCACCTGCTCATTCTGAGCTTTGGTGGATTTGGGGTGAGGCAAACAACAGAAGAAAGAGGCAAACCTTTCTCCTCTCATATTCTTTGTCTTGTCTTCCCCTCTCTCCTTTCTCTCCCCTCAGGCGTCTCGTCAGGATGAGGATCGGTGTGTGTCAGTGTTGTACAGGGATTGACCCCGTGCACACACTCACCTCCTCCCTTCGCTTTCTCTACACACGATAGTCGCTGTCTCATAAAAAACACATTAACATTCTGAATTCCTTTATGATATCATAAGGGATCATAAAGTGTTGAGATTCTGTGAAAAAAAAATTTGGAATATCAGAACCTGTGACAACTTCACTACTATTATGTACAACTAGACTCATTTGGGTTTTGCCAGATAATTCAAATCATAATCAGGTTTGAATTTTTGTATAGCTTATTCTCTCTCTCTCGGCTCATGAAAACTTTTCTCACTGGCCATTAGAGGGTTATTTAATTCAGTGTTTCCCAACCGGGGTGCCGTCTGTCGAGAGCAGGGGTGCCGTGTAAAAAATATATTTTTTTATTTTTAAATTGCTAAAATGTAAAAAAAAATCAGCTATTATATAATATCCATTTCTGATGTCGCCAATAATTAGAGATGCACTGAAATTCCGGCTGCCGAAAATTAGTTCACCGCTCAGGATTCACTTTCACGTGGTGTGACGCTCTGCGTATATTATCCCGCTCTATGCTGTGCGCTCTGCTCAGTCGCTCACGGCCCATGTGAGTGCTCCACTCATATACCGTTCATGCTCATCAGAACAGCAAAGTCCACTCAAAAATCGAGCTGACAGGAAACATCTATGTAGTACAGTATTGTTTCTGTTTGCAATAGCCCTACTGTGTTGTAACAAGGTGCGGTAAAAAAAAATCCTTAAAATTTACGGTAAAAAAACGGCAGCTGTGGTTGCCGGCATTTTACCGTAAAAAATACGGTAGCAACGTTTTAGATTTTACGGTTTTAACTTAAATTTACAGTTAAATACCGTCATTTCATTAACGATATAATGTTAATGTACCAACCTATTGAAGTACTGAAATCTGTTTTGTACCTTTGTAAAACACTGAAAACCACCAAATGCAGGTGGTGATGATAAAGTCACATGATGAACCAAAGCCCATCACAAGCAGCTTTTTAATAATAACATATATAGAAGGTGCACAGTGCCATTCACACAAACACTAAACACCATCATGGTAACACACATGAAGCTGTAATAATGCAATAAACATTCATTTAACAACATTAGGTGTAACACACAACCCTAATATACAAAACTGATAAGAAAAAACTAAGAAGAAACATAGTTATTTCAACAAAAAAACATCAAATTTGAAATGTAATGCAGGGAATTCTGGGAATGTCAATTTACGGTTATTCACTGTAAATTATACAGTCTTTTTCACTTCCAAAAACGGTATGCTACTGTAAAATTAATGTCCAATACATGTAATGTCCAATACAGTTTTTCACCGTATATAGTAGGGGAATTTACCGTTAACCATTTAACAGGATTTTACTGTAGCATTTTTATAGTCTTTTACCGTTAAATTCACGGTCTTTTTTTACAGTGGGGTAACACTGCCCTCTCATTCATTGATCTGCTAACCGTTATGCTCAGGTGTCCTCTGATAATAATAGCTTTCTAGGATTAATCATTATTTGGATAATTGTTAAAAAAAAAAAAAATCTTAATAGCCCTACTGTGTGTTAGACCTACCTGAAAAATTAAAAAGCAATTTATTACATTTGTAGGCCTATAGTTATTTTTTATTTGTGCTATCATTGGTAATTTATTTATTTGTTCTTATTTTATTATTAACTGCTTAGCCTCCTTGTCATCTTTTATTCAATTCAAAGTTTTAAATCAAGCTATCTCATGCTACTGCAACAAAATTACCCAGCTGTAAAATCAAAAATACACTGAGTGAGCAAAACTTTGTTTAATTACCATTATAACTAGTTATCTCACAATGTTTACATATGAATAAAAGCCTACATTAAAATCTGTCATATAAATTGGTCTCTTCATTAGAAATTAGCCTACTGATCGCTACCATTGACGGACAATTTTTTTTAATGATATTAAAAATATCTGTATGACATTATTCTGCAGTTCTTCCCTGCTGTACATCTATACATTTCAAATTATCACATCGAAGTTAGAAATTCCAATATTGTGACAAAATAAATTTTGTAGGGTGCCACAAATATGTTAAAATTTCCAAAGGGTGCCACGACTAAAGAAAGGTTGGGAAACACTGATTTAATTCATCTGAAGTGGTTGTGTTTTTTTCTCACAGCCACATGAGGGCGCAAGACATCGCTTTCATCATAAAAAATAACTGTTTCATCCTTCATGGTTTCATCCTACCAGCCTATGTTTAAAAAAATACCTATTTTACAGGCTGGTTCTTTGGACCAAAGCATACTGTAAAATGTATTTCATTTATTTCCCCTAACGTTAAAATTATAATAATACAAAATAATAAAATATTCAATATGGACTTTGGGAAGGGTGACCATACTGGGCCATTTTTACAGGACGCGTCCTTGCCAGGATTTCTATATTGCCTAAAATATCCAGGTTTGGGCTGTTTGCACTGTGCAGATCCATCGTTGTATGACATTCACGAGAGCTATAGAGAGCAGAGCAGACGGCTCCTTATGCGAGTATGCAGCAACGCTTCAAGTCGAACGACCGAACAAACACCTGCGCGTATTTGCATCGCTTTGATCGTTCTCTGTAAATATCACCTTCTCACGCGCCACGATTGGTCGATTATATACAATACCTGCATGTTATTGGTCAAACTACTTTGGATGTCTTAGGCAATATAAAAATTCTGGCCCAGGACGTGTCCCGTATGAACTGCACATATGGCCACCCTAACTTTGGGGGATGTTTGGGGGACTGTGTCAGAGGAAATATCTAAATATTTACAAGAGGTCTACAAA